ATAAAACAAAGAATGGACACATCAGGTAAATAATCCGAACTGATTTGCACAGTTTGCTCCCAGCAGCCTTCTGCTGGAGGGAATTTTCACACAAAGGTCCCAGTTTGTGTGAAATCGCACGCTCCATAGGACGTATTGAATAATGAGAGTGTTGTGTCAGTGAGTCAACTGAATGAAGTCAGTAGCTGGAGTAGTGTCACGTTGAACAGCCAGTAGACACACTGTCACAAATACAAACATGTTTCCATGGAAGCATATAAAACACAGTGAGTGCAAATGGCTGCTTGTAAATATCAGGGAGTGGAATTGCATCTGCTTTGCTTGAGTGTGTGTGCATGCATGCTAGCATGACATTGAACTTTAGTGATGTGGAAACGATTCCAGTTAAAGAAAATGCGACGCTTCCTTCTGAATGATTTGAAATGATCAGCCTGGACAAACTGTAACTCTTGCTCTATTGTTTTGCTGTCTCAGCAGGATGACTGTGTGTCATTTAACTCCACTTCTTAGACTGTAAAACATCTTTCCGTCCTTTAAGTGCACGCACCTGGCCTGTGCGTGTACTTCCTCTCACCTGTGATTTGCCCCTCCCCTTGGCTTCGTGTGTGTGTGTGTATATGTGTGTGTTGTCCTTGCTGGCAGTGGTGGTGTGTGTCTCAACAGCACTCTGATGTTTCTGTTTTAGAGTTCCACTTAGAGAGGACTCCCCTTCTGACTTCACCCCACCCCCCTGAGCTCACAGGTCAGTCAGTCCCTCCTCTGGACTTTACAAGCAGCACGTTGTCAGTCTGCTACACGCCCACAATTGCACCAACACATGATCACTCTTTGGTTTGCATGTTTGTGTTTGTCGGTCTTCCTTGGTTTCTAGCTGTAGGCTGATTGCTGACAGTAATGGGGGAAGGAGTAGGTGTTTGGTTTAAAGGGCTCCTCTGGTTAAGTTAAATGATCCTAGAATCTGCAGTTCTTTATTGAAAGTTGTTAGCTTCCTTTTACATCTAACATTTGCTCTATCGTATGTTTTAACTTAATCTTTTCTTCTCTGCCTTTTTAGCCATTCCTCTCACGGCATATGGACCAATGGCAGCTGCGGCAGCAGCGGCAGTAGTCAGAGGTACCAAATGACATTAAACACAACATCCATCATCTGGTCAAAATACTATTCTCACCATCCTCAGCTGCACTTATCGTCAATTTAAAAAAATCTCAGCAATCAAATTATTATCAAGTTTTAGTCAAAGCTGCAAGTGTCAGTGTGGGCATAAGTGGTGAATCACCTGATTGTTAATGCTAATCAATGAACCGTGCTGCTAGTGCGTCTAAAAATGAGATTTTTCTCATCCAGTGTGAGACAGAGAAATTACTTTCTCTCCCTGCAGGTTAGAAGATTTACATTTTAATCTGTGTTAAGTCCTCTTCATTAATCTAACCTCTGCTCGCTTAACCTTGGCACTAAAACGATAGTTTAGACAGGTTGATGTCTCCGTTATTGGTGTGTCTCTGTGGCGCAATCGGTTAGCGCGTTCGGCTGTTAACCGAAAGGTTGGTGGTTCGAGCCCACCCAGGGACGGTAATTTTAGGGCAGGGATAGCTCAGTAGGTAGAGTGGTGGCCCCACGATCGGAAGGTTGGGGGTTCGATTCCCCTGAACAGTTACTCTGAGGTACCCCTGACCAAGGATACCGTCCCTACACACTGCTCCCCGGGCGCCCTATGGCTGCTTCACTGAGTGAATGGGTTAAATGCAGAGAGGAATTTCCCCGTGGGGATCAATAAAGTACTCTTTCTTTCTTTCTTTCTTATTGTGACGTCATTATTTTTTACTTTCAGGCTCCACCCCATCTCGTTCTGCTGGATTTTTAGGTACAAGCAGCCCAGGTCCGATGGCAGACCTTTATGGAACAGCCAGTCAGGAATCGGCCGTCAGCAGTTACCTCAGCGCTGCAAGCCCTGCACCAAGCACTGGATTCAGCCATAGTCTGGGGGTAAGTTACTGTTGCCA